GATATTTTCTGACCTTGTTGAGAGCAGAGAGCTATCAAAGTCTCACATCATTCTTACATCCAGGCAAGAGGGTAGTGTTAAGATAAGAAAGTATTGTGACACCTTACTTCAAATACAAGGATTTGCTCCAGAGAATTCTCACAATTACATCAAACACTACTTCAAAGACTTGGAGGCACAGGGACAAAACCTTTTAAAGGACGTAGAACAAAATATTGAACTTGGAGAACTGATTGTCAATCCCTTGTTCACAGCAATGCTGTGTCTTTTTTATGAAGATTTTGAAGGTGGTCTGCCTCTAAGCAAGACTCAGTTGTATCTTGAAATCACAGAATGTATTCTTAAGAGGTTTTGCCAAAAGCAAGGGTTGTCTCACAATAACGACAACCTAACTGAAGTTTATAAAGAAGAGCTGGAACAGTTGGGAAGAATAGCCTTGGAGACCTTGGAGAAAGATAAAATGCATATTGAAAAAGGTGCCTTTACAGCTACAACTACAAGAAAATCGCCTCTATTTGAATATTTATCAGTTCAGTCTAACAGCAGCAAAAGAAGATCCCATACATGTTATCAATTTTCACACAAGAGTTTTCAAGAATTCTTTGCAGGTCTTTATCTCTCTGACCAAATTTTGAAAGGGGAAACAGACTTTGAGGGACTGCTTTCAAATAAACAAGGAAACTTAAAGTCTCTTGAGCCAGTCCTTTTGTTCACAGCTGGTATTCTCAGCTATAAAAGTGAAAAGGATGCCTGTTCTCTTTTAAAAATGATTATCAAGAAAATTAATCATTTCCAAAACTTGGGTTTTCCAAATTTTTACCTGTATTTTGCTGTAAAATGCATTAGTGAATGCTCCACAGAAAATTCAAGACTTCGATCCCAGATGATAAATTTATTGGGAAAAAACCTGGAGCTTCAAGAGGTGATGATATCTGACAACAGTTTCCCCATTAAGTTGTTTGTTGAGGCCCTTCAAGTTAACAGCACACTGACGAATTTGATGATCCCTATTCCATTATCTGGACACCAGTATGTCAAGTCATTGGCTGATATGCTTCGTGTTAATAAAACTTTGACTAAAGTTATTATCACAGACGATTTCATCAGTGCATATGGTGTACAACAACTGATAGATGCCTTACAGGTTAACACAACGCTGCTCGAGTTAGCCCTTTGTGGAAATGCATGGGACAACAATGGAGCAAGCATCTTGGCAGGCTACTTGGAGAGGAACAAAACTTTGACTGCCTTACATCTAATCCGGAGTGACATTGGTGATGTAGGAGCCACAGCACTTGCAGAAGTTTTATGGACTAACACCACATTAAACAGTTTGGACCTTTGGAAAAACCCAGGCATTGGCAATCCCAGTGTTACATCACTGTGTGAGGCTCTTAAAGTCAACAAAACCCTTAGCACATTAAATTTGTCTGAAACTGGTATTAGTGATGCTGGTGTTCTTTCTCTTGTGGAAGTTCTCAAAACCAATACCAGCAGCCTAACCTCTTTGTCACTGTCAGAAATTAAAATTAGTCATCACAGTGTAAAGTCTATCGCAGAAGTCTTGAGAGTCAACTCTACTTTGAAAGAGCTTAAATTTGAAGGAAATAAGGTTGGTTCTGATGGAGCGGAGTTGATAGCTGAGAGCCTTAAAGCCAACACAACCCTGAAACTTCTAAGTCTCTCAAGGAACAACATCAAAGAACCATGTGGTGGTATGTTTTCTGATGCCCTCAAAGTTAATGGGACACTGGAATCTCTGACTTTGGCAGAGAATGACCTTGGTGTTCATGGTGCCCAACTTCTATCAGAAGGGCTCAAAGTGAATACCTCACTTAGACATCTGGACCTGTCTGGGAATTCCATTGGCACTAAAGGTGCAGAGTCGATAGCAGAGACCATCAGAGTTCATGCTTCAATGACTGGCTTAAAACTATCATGGAACGGTATTGGTGATGCTGGAGCTAACAAAGTTTCTGCAGCTCTTAAAGTCAATGTCCATTTGAAGGAGCTGGATCTGTCATTTAATGCCATTGGTGCTGCTGGAGCTGAGTCAATTGCTGAGGCCCTTAATAGTAATGCTACTCTGACTGTTTTAGACCTTGATTCCAATGTTATAGGTGATAATGGAGTCCAATCACTTTGTGAGGCTCTAAAGACAAATGCCACCTTGACCAACCTGATTGTTTCTAACAACAATATCCATTCAGCTGGTGCTCAGGCATTTGATAAACTCCAAGGACATAATAACACCCTAAAGAAAGTAACTTTGATCATGAACAATATCAGTGATTTAGGCGATCATGGGGATCAAGAATTTAATGAAGTCCCCATGGTAAGCGTGTCTTCTTTTCCTACTTCACATGATTTGTCACTGCGCTTTACTGATCAAGGAAGCTTTGATATACTTGTTTCAAGTTGTAAAAAGCTAATTTCATTTCTGTGCTGGAGTTGTTAAGGCTGACATCCATGAGAAACTGTTTACTTGTAGACAATGAAGTTAGATCTCTTCCCTCTAACAAGAAGCTATTGATGACTGGTTTGAGCCTGAGTTAACAGTTTGGATCTCATTCCAGTTGGCTGGTGTGAAAAGGGGAAGGCCCCCTGACATCCTCATCAAACCTCTAATTTTTCAGGGAGTGAACCAAAAAAGTTCTCTCTCCTTGACTTACAGAAAGCTCCCATGTTTTTCTTGCCTGAAAGAGATCTAACTTCACTGACAAGGAATGTTCCTTTTCCTCATCTGCTATTGCTGCCTGAGAATTGAGTAATGGATAAGTTAAACCATATACAAAAGAAAATGGTGTGTTGAGATGTTTATTCTTATGTTTACCTAGTAATATGTATTATATACCAAAATGGCCAAATGTGTTTAAAAGACAAGATTAAGGAAAAGCAAAGTTTGTTACTACCAACATAAAATCATCATACAGTTTAGGAGAGTAGAACTAAGTCTCCCTCACAGCTGACATCAGTCATCACACAGGTAGCCCAACCTCAGAACATAAGCCTCTGTAAAGATGCAAATATGTTTGTGTTGTGTGATAATCCTATAAGAAGTAGGATTATTTTAAGTAAATATTATATATTCTGATTTTTAGATTGAGGGTGCAGCTGTTTATTCCCATAAAAATCCTTACATTCTGCCCACTGAGCAACATAGAAATATTTTCATAGTAATGGACACCCTTTTTTGTGTGTTTTGGCTACTTGTGGCTTTGAAAACAGATTTATGCTCAGGCTTTAAGGTATCTATCAGTGACACAACTAAAAAAAAATAATTCTGATTGCTTGAGCATATATGTTTGGACTTTCCAAACATTAATAAATTTACCCTGCGCATATTTATCCTCATATAGTCACTGAGCATGTCAGTGGTTTTTTCTTGAGACGAACCTGTGTGATAAAGCTGACACACTCCCTTGGTCAGCTCAGCTGCTGCTTATCCCAAAAAACTGTTGAGCTGGGAACCAGCACTCAGACCAAATAACCTTTGCATGAAAGAGGGATGTTAAGAAACAGTTAATGCATTTTGGACCAGATGAAAGTAATATCTGTAGTGAACCATCAGTAGATAAAATAACCATTTATTCCCTAACATCAGCATTCATATTCTCCATACTGTTCTCTGTACATTTACTAAGGTGCTGACGAGGAGAATTTGTCTACCAATCAAGTTTCTTTATTTGGTGATCATTTCCTTTATTCTCATGACATTATATTAAATTTTGCGATTCAGTTGTGATATTGTAAGGAGAAATTGGATTCTAGTCACTCATAGGGGTGAAAGGGTTAATATATAGACCTTAGCTCAAACTAATTTGTCATTTTTCTCAAAATTAACAGTCAATTTAATTTTTACAGTGTCTGATGATTTCAGATCTGTATCAACTTGAAGATGGAGCTTGGAAAAATTTAAGACAGCTTTAATTTTCATTTGCTGATTATTTCTATTTTGGAATGGCTGTTCCAAGTATGAATTAAAGAGAGTCTTAAGGATCTCCCCATGTAGAAGGTTTTACAACACCTTGTAGTAATCCTGCAGCTGTATTATATTACACAGACATCTTTTTAGTTTCAATGTATAAGCTTTATTCTTCCTTCAATGGAGTGGCTTAAATACTTCTGTATTCTTAAGTTGAAATAATCTTCAATTATACATACATACTTCTATTTGTTACAGTATGTAAAAAAATTTACAACTTGAAGCTAAGGTGGACCCACCATAACTAATTAATTTGTAACAGAAACCACTGAAAAGAATTAAAAACTTTTTTTACATGTAATAATCAAAATGATTTAATAGTATTTAGAAGTAACATCTGTTCCTGTGATACCCATTACTGATCCTTTCCTTAAACAGGTCAAACCTCTTAACTTTGTTATGGAGAAATGAACATCATGAAAACTGTGATATCTATGTTATTTTGCCAAACCAATGGCCAGCAAATTTCTACAGTAACTGAAAAATGAACAGATTGGTTTTATCAAGTGAGTTAATAATGTAAATTGGCCTCCTTAAGCTCTAATAGGACAGTGTACTTTTCATGCTTGTAATTGGACAGTGTAATAGGACAGTTAAGGGTGCCTGCACAGTTGTCTGGCATTTTGCTGATTTAACTGTTGATTTTTTTTTTAATAACTGATGTCTAATTTCTTTCTCAAATGTTGTCATAATTTTTATTTATTGGTAACAGGACTTCATATCATCCAATTCTGTCTGTAATCATGCTAGTGATTAACAAATTGAACTCCCACCTCGTGGTTGTCTGATTTGTTAATCACTCGTATGATTACAGACCAAATTGGACTCCACTCAGTCCTATTTCCACAATTACTGGTAATCAGAAAGTTACCCCCATATTCTATTGTAATACATACTACCAAAGGTAGATAACATTTCAAAATCTTTTTCAAGACAATAAACAAGCTCAACCTTCAAAGTCAAATTCCAGCCCAGTCCCTATCAGCTTATTCATAACCTCATTTTCAAACATCTTGTTCTGTTCTGGGGTGAAGTAATTTTTCCAATCACCAATCCTTCCTTTGCGTAACAGTTTTGGAGCTGTGCCCTCCAACCAGTAATTTGACATGTTCTTCATTCCTTCAAAGTGGCACTGTTCAGCAATTTTTGTAATGATATCTTCTGAAAGCTGTTTACCAAGGAATTTGGCTTTAGTACAAACATTGCTGTGCAAATCCTAAGGGAGGAAGAGAAAAAAAAAAACTTGGGGTTCTGTGACTGTTTGGGTTGGGCCTTTCCCAGCTTTATTTCTAGTGTGCTATATGTATGACAAATAACTGACACAATACCCCTCTGTTAAAAGAAAAAAAAGGGTAAACTTAATCAAATGTTTAAGAGGGTAACCTGCCATACACCAGCATATTCCGGCAAACTAGATGTGCAGGCATCAGATGACATTTGCTATGGTATTGACAAGGAGAATTTATTTGACAATCAATAGCTATAACTGTAGTGGGTGATGATTTTCTTTATTCTCCTAACCTTGATGTTTGCTTCAGCGGTAACACTGTAAGGAGAAATAGGATGCTAATCACTGCTAAGATTTAAAGGTATAAGAAAGAAAAAGCCTCTGGCATGCTAATAATTGTTTCTGAAGAAACCACCTGGTAAGTAGACACCTCTGGCTTAAGACTGGCAGATCCCAACCTGTTGTGATTATAAAATATAATCTTACACTATCTGATATCAACCTACTGTAATTTGGTTGTTGAATGAAAAAGTGTGAAAATGGAAGTTTATAGAGCACAATAAAACATAATCTAACCTTATCAAGTCTTTATACTTGAGAAATAAGACATTGGGATCATCCCTGTGCCTTTACCAGCCTAACACATGATCACTCCAATGACCGTACAACACTGGAATAAAACAATTCCAAATCATCTTAAGAAAGGGCCAGAGGGGAAGGAAGGAGGGGGGGGGGTTGTGTGGGGAGGTGGCACAATGCTGAAATTGTGTACCTTAGCTTTTAAAACTACACCAAACCCAAGGATGTATTTTTTCATCCAAAAAGGTTCCTGGAGTTGACTCTGACCATTTCACTCACAAATCTCATAAATAATTCTCCTGACTATTTGCCATTCAATTCTTATGATGCAAGTTCACTTCATGCTACATGGAAACTGGAATAAGCTCCAGCTGGATGGACCAATAGGCTTAAGTACAAACTTTACCTTACCTTCATCTCAAAGATAACCAGCATGTAATGATTATGGAAATGAGGGGACTATGTATTCAATCAAACTAATCCTTGATTAATTGTCTTGAAATATTCTGCATCCACAAAGTCTTTCATTTCTTTCCTTGTCACCCAGATGTGATCAAAGTATCCTTCATGTAGTCTGACACAACCTGTTACATAGTTCACATTGTAGAAAAATACCTGGGAAACAAAAAGAAGATTTTGAGAACAGACATTCTTTTGGCAAGGTAACACAACAAGTTCTGAAAAATGTTTGAGTGCATCTCAGTATTATTATTGGGCCTGAGATAAAGAAAACTCTGTCAAATCTGAGATAGGTTTTAATTTCGTTTCAATTGGAGGAAAAGAGCTGGTTTTATTCTTTTCAGGACATAAGAAACATCTCTTTATTCCTAAAAGCATGAACAAACTAAAACTTATATCATCAAGGTACCATATCCTTGTCTTTAGCTTGGCACCCCTTCAGCTTTAACAATGTTATCTTTTGAACACTATTGACCTCACTTTGTCATTTTTGTTTTTGTACTTTTTCATCACAGCAGTAAGAAACTGAACTTTAAGATCAGCGCGACAAGTTTCACTTAAACTTTTTGATGCTACCTGAAAATAAAAAAATGCCATTTTATTTACATTTATTGATAATATTATTAAGAGTTGGACAAAATCTTATTGCCCACTAAACCATCAAGTGTGTTGAGAAAGATGACTAGACATTTTTTGTTTGCAGATAAACCCCAAGATGAAACCATTCAAATAAAAGCAACTATACTGTGCATGTAACTTTTTTGTTAAGTAGACTATGTTTAGTTTATTTTGCTCTGAATATGGTTCAGCTGCTCAAAACATAAGGAAAAGGCTGTGCACATGACCATTCCAATGATAACCACTGTCCTTTAGAATTGTTCATTCCAGTTTTACTAAACTTAAACCCCTTAACTCCCAAGAGTGATTAAAATGTAACTTCTCCCTCTAATAACCATACATTATCCAGCAAAATGGCAACAAGAATCCTCAAACTTATCAGGTAGAAGTTATTATCTTAATATAACACTAAATTTTCATTATTAAATTATGAGGAAATGTGTTGCTGCCAGTGGGGAGAATCAACAACCAAATCAAGGGAGTTAACCTTTAACTCCCATGAGTGACCAAGACAGAATTCCTCCTTACAATATCAATACAATATCACTGTTGATTTATGAAGACTAATTAAATTTCATCATATGCACAATATAATCCACTTGATTACATTTCTAATTGTGGGCTAGAGTCAAACCTACAGACATTATTTTCAAGATTTCCACAGAAGAAGAAATTGCTATTCCCATCCCAGTTGTTAATAAAGCATTTAGTGATAGCACAGGATTAAAATATTAACATTTCCTTAATCTCCCTTGAAATAAAGATTATATCAGGGGTTTACATTTTGAGGGATTTGCCTTAGTGAAAGACAAAACTAAAGAAAAAAATGTAGACAATTAAAACAGTCTGAAAAGCTTCAAAACTAAATAAAAAAATTGTTGGCTAATCCCAAGTTAGCTTTAAAATGCTTTGAACAAATCTGCCCAATTGTCAAAATTGGGTTGCCTGATAACCAACTTTTCTAGTTCACTTGCTGTCTGGATAAAGCTCTAAGCAAGCTACAGTTCAATCCATATCCCAAGAGGCAGTTTGGTTCCAGAGAGTATCAAGGGTAACAAAAGACATTTTTATGGTAATTTCGATGTTTGAACCTCTCAGAGAGATGATGTGATGCAAATTATGTGATATCTCTATGTGTAATATGGCTTCTCGGCTAAAATAGTATATTGACTGGCATGTACCAGAGGCACATACCTGCAATAAAATAGGCTCATTTATTGAGAACAGTCACAATGCAAGATGCAGGCAATAGTGCCAGTCAACATTGTGCATGAACACATTATTAAATAATTCTTTTCTGTTCGTGATATCTTAGGGGAAGCAGTAATCATCAAGATCTTTTCACTTGGTTGTAGCTAAATTTAATCTTATTGGCATAAACTAAAACCCAATAAAACAGCAAAACAAAGTGACTGAAACAAAACAAGCAAAACAAGCTAAACAAGGAAAATGAAACAGCCATAACAACTAAAATGAAATGACCAAAACAAAACAACCAAACAAAATGACTTCTATGACCAAAACAAAACCACTACAATGATCAAGACAAGTGGAGGATAAAATGTTGTAGAACTTGTAGATTTCACTTCAGATATTCTCTCACATTTTTAAAACCTTTTAAATATTAAGGCTGTCTCACAAAACTTTTTTCCTCTCCACACAAGCAGTTGAAACTATAATTTGATACTTATATGTAGTTTCTTGGACAGAATGCCAGCCGTATCAAAAACCAAAGCATATCTCACAGAAAGAAGAGGAGGAAATAGATAATGGTATTCAATGACAATGTCTATGTACCTAATTTTTTCCATTTATTTCTTTTTTAATTAAGGTTTCATTGACAACTCACGCCAAGCAGATGGTAATTGAGACATAACTGAATTTCCCTAATGAGGTAGATCAGGTGTAGACCATAATTGAAATGAGATAAATATATCAGCTGGCACTGAAATTAAATTTTCTAGTCATTTCGGTCGTTTCGGTTTGGTTGTTATGTTCATTTCATTTCAATTGTTTTTTTTTGTAGATTCAATGGTTTCACCTATTTCATTTTGTTTTGCTCATAACCATTGTTTTGTTTTGCTTGTTTTGCTCCTTTTGCTTGTTTTACTTGTTTCATTTTGGTCATTTCATTTTGCTGTTTCAGGTTTTAGTACATGCCAATCTTAACAATCATAACAACCTTTCTTTTTGACTCCATCATTCCTATTGCCATACTTTCATCATCGTCATTATCCTTCAGGTTTTTCTTCCGTCCTTGAATTCCCTCACACTCTACTCCATCTTCTGACAGTGCACTGTGCTCAAGTTCCAGTTGATCTTGAAGTTCCTCATACCTTTTTTTTCAGTTCTGATTTCTCTTTTGTGATTCGTGGCAAACGTTGAACACAAACTGCACTGAATATCCTTGAAATCCTTGGTTTTGGTTGAACTGTGCAGAAGTTCTTGCTAGTGATAAAATCTAAGAGAGAAATCTCCTCTGTAAAATCCAATATTTGAATTCATAATCTCATCAGTGTATTCGCAAGACAAAATCCCCAAAGTAGACAACCAATTTTCGAACAAACTGCCCAGCTTACTATCCCTTTTAAGAATTAAATTGCTCTTAATCGTTATTTTCTCGCCATCCCTGACCGATAAAGGTTAATCCCTTGAAGACAAACGCCCCAAACCTAATCTCGCAAAATAAGCTCTCTGAGCCGCCATTTTGAATCGCTTTGCAACCACTCATTCTAGAACGCCTGGCTGAAAATCAAGCATCAGGGCGCTAAAGAAATTAAGATGCGTGACTTCACTCGAAAAATTTCATCAAATGGGGTCTTTATTTTTCCTTCATGATCAAGGACATACAGCAGAGAGCTCTAGAAGTCTTCTTACAAGCATTTTGAACAAAGACTTTGAGTTTGACCATATTCGAGTAATTTATCCGCAATATTTATCAGCAATATTACTTTCCAGGTCGCTCATGGCGGACTTGAACAAGGGCTTTGGTACGAGCGGAACACGTTAAGCCCCACTGCTATGGAGAGGATGGACTCGATTGATCACTCCTGCAGTTTGATTTGCCATTTGATTGATCAGGAAAAATCTCGCGGAATTCCACTGGATAGGATCGTCATTGGTGGATTTGGTATGGGAGGGAATCTCGCCATGCATGTAGGGTTCAGGTATGCGTGTAAGAGGGTCATGACTTACAGATATAATATTCGAACTCAATTTTAGTGGCTTAAACTTTAAACGGTCGATAATATTAATCTAAGACCCCAAAAAGACATAAAGTGGACTGATCATGACATTCTTATGGCATAATTAACTTGCAATCGTAGTTTAAGCGAAGATAAAATGAGCGTAACGTGGGTAACATTTACATGGCGTGTGTGTGTGTGTGTGCAAGTGGGACATGTTGTGAAATGACAGAACCATCACTGAAGAAAGCTGGTTTTATTTTTCGTCATGTCACGAGCATTGAAAAAGATAAAAAATTACGGGTTCCCATAAGGGAAGTGAACCTCCGATCTTCTGCTCCCGCTCTCCTATGGTCTACCACTAGGCCACAGAGCCTCATCTACGACAGAGTTCATATGTAACCACAGGCAGCTCAAGCTTCAGTTGTGATATGATCATTTTGCAGAATAGCATTCATGGAAAAATTATGAGAGTCTGTATGAGAATATTTGTGACCGCTCTAAGGAATAAAAAAATAAATCAAATTCTCAATAAAAATACCTCACCTTATTTCCACAGTGCATTGCTTATTATCTGACTGTTTACTACATTGAAGGAAACCAATTTTAGCAAGTTATCCATTTCTAGGTTTATGGCTACATATGAGAAGCCAGAAGGGTTATTCTTATATATGTAATAAACCTAGAAATAGATAACTTCGCTAAAATGGGCTCTTTAAACATAGTAGGTGGTCAGATAACAAGCAATGCACTGTGGAAGTAAGGTGAGGTATTTTTATTGATAGTTTGACTTACCAGTTTATTTTTTAATCCTAAGAGTGAATGTAAATATTCCTATACAAACTCTTTTTTAGTGGTCTTCCACTCACATTTTAAAAATTTTCAATATTAGCTGGGTCCAATTCATTATGGTACCACTGGAAATATCATCCACAATTGTTGTGAATTGTGCTAGTGATTGACATTTTGTAACCATGGCAACAAGTTTTAAGGCCCCCCGACGGTGTAAAAAGCTACCCATCTGCTAAAAAGAATGTCTAAAGAATCAGAGGTCCCATTGTCCTATAAATGGTAACAAAATGAACTACAATGATTGCTCTATACTGTAAACCTCAAAAAGTAAACTATCAAAGTATTTTTCAGAACAATAACAATTTATTTCTGAGAAGAACAATATTTTAGCCCCAATCATTCCCAACAAATTGAAATGAGATTCATGCACTTTCATATAACTGTTTTTTTTGTTCATAACACAGCATAAATACAAGAGAGAATTCACTGAAAATTTCAGTTCAATTGCACTAAAAGAAGCAAAGATATCCTTTTTGCTGTTTTGGCTATTAAGGCAAAATTACAGAATTGAGAAAACTGAGATTAAAGTTTTGAGTTGTAACAGAGAGTAGCCATTGTCATGGAAAACAATGTTTTGTGCTAATTTCCACTTGACACGTTAAAATCCACCAGCTACATAAATATCACCCTCCTTTTCTTGTTGTTTGTCAGTTTTTTTTCTTTCTTTTGTCACGGAGCAATCTCCACTGAGACTTGTTGACTCCTTGCTCTTTGTAGTTGGCCTTTAGAACTTGGATCGAATCAGCTTGCTGAGCCTCATCTTTACAGTAGTGACCAGGAGAAATTCCAATTTCCTCAAGAATCTTCACAGAAGCCTGACATCCAATATTAAAGTGGACTACTGCATCATAAATGCCCAACTGCAAGGTCTCAGGGCCAACAAAGACACTCTTCAGTACTCTCTCCCAGAACATAGCATCAAGGGCCTCATTCTAATTTTGTGTCTTTCCATCAAGACATCTGCTCAGAAGACTGACTTCACCCAGTCTAGCAAAAATTGGTTTCAGTTCAGCAATGACATCTAAGGGTAAACCAGCCTCATGCTTATAGTAGTTTGTTTGATTAGCTTGATCCCTCATGTACCCACACCAACTAGTAGCACCCTCTGGGAAATGCTGCAAATGCAACTTTCTGTCAACTGAGGATGCACAATGAAAGAAACTTGCATGAATAGCTGATTTCATAGCTGGAAAATTACCAGGACTCTTATTTTGCAAGATGATCATCTCACAGCTGGAGCTTGGGCCACCTGTGATGTGACACATGTTCCACATACCACTAGAACCATTGCTAAAGTTGAATATTGCCTGACAGAGAAATCGCATGTGACAAAGAAATTGCACTTGAGATTGTAAGACTTGTCCTTTTTTCTTTTGTCCATCAGGTATCTCACAAACATTGCTGGTGTTTTTGCTCATTCTTCCATCTTATCAACATGATTGACTGTGTTTGAGACAATAAGAAAAGAGAGAGAACTTAACAAGGACCAGAAGTACCCTGCTTTGTTTATGTGGAATGGAAGAAAGGATAAAAACTGGCTTAGATGGGCTGCACACACTGCAGAGTGTTTTATGGACCTGAAGATACAAACTGATTTCCAAGTGAATTATGCAATGCAAGGACATGAAATTATATCAAATGAAATATTTTACTTAAGGAGATGGGTGGAACAAATGATTCCTAATCTTGACAGAAATGCCAATTATCACTAAAGTAGATAAACAGGTGCATTTCAATTTTGTTTGGGTTACTGTTCAGTCTCTCAAGTTGATCTGATTTGATTTGGTAGTCGTGATAAAGAGGGAAAAGAGACGCAGAATACAAGGGTTGAGTCCTGCCTTTTTTTTTTTGACATCTGTCTGAAAGATTAGTGTCAAAAGCAGCCAGTTTTTTTTCTTTTTTTTTAGCTCCTATCACCACAGACAAGTATATATTCAGGTTTTAAACTATTTCTGCCTTGTCATTTGGCCTGAGTTTACTAAAACTTTTCTTTAAGTTATTGTTCTTCTAAATCTACTGTGCTGGTGCAGTACTACAGAACTAGAAAAATTGATCATTGAATAAAGGGGGTAAGTTTCTAAAGAAACTATGGTGGTCTTTGACTTATTAAAGAGGCCCCCTAAAATTGTTTCCACGTAATACGAGTAAATATACCGAAGATAGAAAACCCTGTAAAAGTATAAGATTAGGCGAACTTTGCGTGATCGGGTAACGCGTGACCATCTGTTACCATGACCATCGAAAACTTCGCGTGACCGCTGAGGCAGAGCCACTTTCCGCCAAAGGCAACAGACGATGACGTCACGGGAACTCCCTAATTTGCTACTAGAGTGAAGCCGAATCGATTTACCTTTTCTCTCAGATTTATCGCTGTTATTCGCTGAGTTGTTCCTTATGTTTGTGATTAAGCAGGTTTGTATTTCTTAACTTTCTTAAGATCGGTTGTCTAGTCTAACAGAGTTGGATGAAATGCAGTTTATAGCTACCGTTCCACTAAATTTCAACTTGAGTCTTTCGAGCACGCATTAGATTATTGCGAACCCAATTAAACTTTGGTTGAGAGTAGTCTATGTAAAGTAACTTAGAAAACAAAATAGCGTAAATTAAGTTCAAAAAACCTTGTTAGATTTGGTAATGAATGTGTCTCGAGGCGCGCCATTTATACACGTAGCCGTCTACTACAATGCCATTGTTGAACTTTCGTTTTCGATTATCATCATCCCGGGTTGATATCAACATCTGTAATAATTTTTGCGCAGCTAACATGCACCTTCACAGCCCTCTCTACTACTCTTAGTCGCCTACTACATGTGTTGGATCTAGAGAAAAGCTTTGCGAACAAAATAGAATTAGTAAAACGTTCCAAGTTCTTGCCTTTAAGGAAGTCCTGATGAAATTCTATTTTAGCGTAATTTTGCCAACTATTGTGCATGACCTAGATTTATGGGGTGCGTGCTAAAACTCCGATATTAGAAGCTCAATTGAGAGACTTTAAGTTACTCTCTTAATGTCCTAGATTAACTCTTCGTTGCTAGCTCTGTATGTAGTATTTTACATGTATATACTTCAAGTAATGTTCAGTAGAGCATGCACAACCCCACAACCTTTGGAGCTGTAACTCTTATCGCGTCGAATTAAAGGGTTTAACGTTTTTTTTTTTATGTTTATCCTCTCCCTCTCCAACCACAATTAAGTGATATGTATTGGTTCACAAATAAATGAGCCACAACCTCTTTAATATAAGGCTTTACTCAACTGTTTATTTCAGGAAGACAATGGCCACACCTGCTCCTCCAGTGTCATTTTCCTCTACTAAAGAGACCACCAATTATGCAAGACTTTGTCGTCTTCTGGTTGATGTGGGATCTTGTGTGCTACGGGACACATTTGACAGGATTAATCCCCCAAGGGACCTTCACAAACACTTGGTGGCACATCACACCAAACTTCAGCAACTTCAAAAGAAAAAAGTCTTAAATCCAACACAATGGGGAAAGTTATACCCTGCAATACGTACCTCAGTATCATCAAAAAACTTTGACATAACTCTTCTGACAGTTCTACTGAGGAACATTTGTAGCCTAAGTCCACCAGCCACTGGATGGGATGCACTTCCACCTGCCACAGATATGAGCACAGAGGCCGACATTGCCCGAGTTAAATACTTTAGAAATACGGTTTATGGCCATGCTAAGAAGGCTTCTGTGGATGATGCTACATTCAATGTGTATTGGCAAGACATCAAAGATGCTTTAGTGAGACTTGGAGGACCTGTATATGGAGTGGCAATTGATGATCTTAAAAATGAGTGCATGGACCCTGTATTTGAAGAATACTACAGAGAACTTCTAAAGGAATGGAAAAGAGATGATGATAACACCAAAGACAAACTGGATGAGATTCACTGGATGCTTAAAGAACAAATGAAAGCTCCAACAAAGCAAGACACAACAAAAGGTAAATTTGCTAGCAGCAAGGTGATGTGATAACAGGAAGGGAAAACAAAATATATGATGGAGGAATGATGAGAAGAAATCAAATGAAACCATAAACAAACTTAGGAAGAAATTAGAAGAATGACCAAACCTATTTCT